AATTCACTTTTGCTTTTAATTCCCTTGCCTTTGGGGATGTGTCAAGTAAGAGATTGCTACGGCTGAGGTCAGAGAGGTCTTTTCCTGCTTTCTCCTCTAAGGTTTTGATGGTTTCCTGTCTCACATTCAGGTCCTTTATCCATTTTGAGTTTATTTTTGTGAATGGTGTGAGAAAGTGGTCTAGTTTCAACCTTCTGCATGTTGCTGTCCAGTTCTCCCAGCACCATTTGTTAAAGAGACTGTCTTTTTTCCATTGGATGTTCTTTCCCGCTTTGTCAAAGATGAGTTGGCCATACGTTTGTGGGTCTAGTTCTGGGGTTTCTATTCTATTCCATTGGTCTATGTGTCTGTTTTTGTGCCAGCCAAAAGAATTTTTAAATCATCTTTGGCAAGAATTTATTTATGATACAGACAACTAAGAGAAGTAAAAAAATGGTGATAAGATTTTACATGTCTGAAGTAGGGTGAGTGAAATTGAAAACTAGGTCTTACAAGAACCACGTATCTTTGTGTTTAGACTTGGAATTCCTCAGCTCACAACTTTGATATAAGGATATTAGCAAAATTGACAATTTTTTTTTTTAACAAATATTTAGTTGTTTATTTTGTCTTTTAAATGATTTTCTTTGTTAGTGGAAGTTGAGTTTTACCAAGTAATATGGATACTAAATAATGTTTCTTTTTTGCTATAGGTAAAACTTCAGTGAAGAAGCTGACCAAAAAGGTAAGTAGTATGTGTGGGAGAAAGTTCTTTCTTTATTTCTTTTCGTTTGTTTTTTGGTGACATAGAAAATGTACTTTTATAAGGTAAACTTAAAGATTTTAATGTGTATTCAAAGGATATCGAGGATATACTGGCAGGAACCCAACCAGCTTGTCGTGGATCAACCTTTTTTAGAGACCTTGGCGATAAAGGTAATTTTGATTTGTTGTTAAATTTCTGTTTATGTGTTTGGGGTGCCTGGGTGGCTCAGTTGATTGAGTGCCTGACTTTGGCTCAAGTCATGATCTCACGGTTCATGAGTTCAAGCCCCACATCAGGCTCTGTGGTGACAGCTCGGAGCCTGGAGCCTGCTTCAGATTCTGTGTCTCCCTCTCTCTCTCTGCCCCTTCCCTGCTCATGCTCTCTCTCTCTCTCTCTCTCTCTCTCAAAAACAAATAAACATTAAAAAAGAAAAAGAATTATTAAAAAAATGTTCTATTTATGTGTTTGATTTAACTGGGGTATTATTAAGGAATTAAGTTGTGAGGTCTGCATACAGTAGAGAATCTACATAGAAAATGTTTTAATACCATGTTCTTTAATAGATGTTTTTAAATAATAAAATACTCATCAGGTAAGAAATAATTTTCGCAAACTCTCTGAGCGATTACAATTTTAATTAAAGTCTGGGGAGGAGGAACGGGGCCGGGTATCTGAAGTGAGAAGAGAAGGCCTCAGAGAGATCCAGCGGAATACCAACATTTAAGGCAGTGGAAGAGGAAGCAGTGCCCAAGGAAGAGACTAGGGCAGAGCGATCAAAGACGCGAAAGAGAATCAAGCTGATGTTAACACAGAAGCCAAGAGGAGAAAGTGTTAGGGGAAGAGAAAATTAAGTTCAGACCACTTGAGAGACCTGGGTGTGAACAAAAGGAATTAGAGGGCAGTAGCTGGGGATGGAGACAGACCCAGGGAATGTTGGTTCATGTTAGACCAAGAGACTTGAGCACGTTTCCTGTTGATGAGAGGGAGAGATAGGAAATGAGAGAAAGGAAGTATGAGTGGGACAGACTCCTGGAAAATGGGAGAGAAGGGATTGTCTTCAGAGCACCAATGGGAGGATCAGCATTCCACAGGGTGCACAGCTTTTCCATTGCACCAGTAAGAAAGGATGTATACAGGTGGGTGTTTCGTGCAGATTTTGCAAATTCAGTGGCAAGAACCTGAAGCAGGTTGTTTTGGATAGCTGTGATTGTTTTTATAAAGTAGGACGTGTGGAGAAAGAAGGTTCAAGGTAGCTTCTGTGATTAGGAAAGAGACCCAACCAGAGAGTCCTAGGAAACCTCAAGGGATCGAAGAAGGGACCTCGAGGGACCGACGGAAGATAGCGTCGGTCATGAAAGAATAGTCAGCAGTCAGTGCAGTGATGGGACGATTCTCCTGCCGGCTACAGGTGGGAGTCGAAAGGTTGCACAGCTGTATTAGAGTTAGGATTTTGCTGAGCGAATGGGTACGAGAAGGGTCACAGGCTAGGGAATTCAGGCTGTTGAGGGGAAAGAGGGTTTAAGTAGGGAGCCATGGAATCTGAGCAAGATAATAGAGAAGAAAGTCGAATTGCAAAAGAAAGGAAAGGGGAGATGAAAAGAAGAAAGTGGAACAGGGAAGTGAGATCTGCCAGTGAGGTTGAAAGCCAGCTCTAGTAGGAGTCCCAGAGCAGAGCAGAGCTGGCAGTCAACGAGTTAAGTGCTGAGGTTTACGACTTCAGAGGTGAAACGGTTCTGGGTGATTTCGGGGTTCTAGGTATAGTCCTGGAATTCGAATCTCAAGAATTAGTTCTCAAGGGGGGCGCCTGGGTGGCGCAGTCGGTTAAGCGTCCGACTTCAGCCAGGTCACGATCTCGCGGTCCGTGAGTTCGAGCCCCGCGTCGGGCTCTGGGCTGATGGCTCAGAGCCTGGAGCCTGTTTCCGATTCTGTGTCTCCCTCTCTCTCTGCCCCTCCCCCGTTCATGCTCTGTCTCTCTCTGTCCCAAAAATAAATAAACGTTGAAAAAAATTAAAAAAAAAAAAAAAAAAAAAAGAATTAGTTCTCAAGGATGTGAGAGAGTGTGATCAGAGAGATGGACCATGAACCAGCTACTGAAGCCTTGGGTGACCGAGAGATGGGGAGAGGGCACTTTGGTAGATGCCCGCTAAAGGAAAAACAGACAGTGGCCTAGCCGGATGACATTTGCCTCAAAGGAACAGAAATTTTTGTTAAGAGGTTAGAAGAAAAAAGGTCTGGAATCAGCAGTGAGGCGGGAAAAAATGAGTAACCTCCCTTTCAGAAGTCCTTAGCGGAGATCCAGGTTTCAGATAAGGCAAGACCACGCATACAGTGAATGAATAGGTGAAAGATGTTTACCGTGGAGAGAATTTCAGGGCGCAGTAAGAAAATTTGGGTAGGAGTAGAGGAGTGGGAGACCGGTTGAGTCCGGAGAGATGAAGCAGAGACCAGCATGCAGATGTGTAAACACAGAGGACGGGCGCCATTTCGGAGGGGTGTGAAGCTGCCGAGGGCAGTTGGAGGTCAGCCGAGAGGTAGGCGGAACCTTAATCTTAGGTACCTGTAGAGGGTGTGTTAAAGAGTTTAGACCTTATCCTGAGAACCGTGGGCTGCCCTTGAGTTTAAAGTAAGCAAGTGACAGATGAGAGCAATCACTCTGGCAGCTGGCTAGCGAATGGAGTGAGGAGGTTTTGCAATAAGGGTAAGAGGTTGTATGCTGGAGAGGAGGTAATGGAAATGGAGAGAAGAGTGTAGATTTGATAGATATTTTGGTGATATTTGGTGGTAGAGCGATGGGCCTTAATGACTGACTGGATATGAGAGGGAGCAAGAAAAAGGAAACATGTCCGATGCCCAGATTTCTGGTTTAGGCGAATGATTGCGCCATTCGCCAGGATACGTGGATCGTAGGGGAAAGAGCGAAGGGGGGGGGGCAGAGAATGAGTCCGGTTTAGGACATAAGGCGTTCAGATTTTCTTACCATCATCGAAAATGGCACTGGAAGCCACGGTGGCAGATGTGACCACGTAGGAAGCACTGAGGGGAGAAGAGGCCCAGATAGATCAGGTCAGTTTAATGAATGGGCAGAAGAGGAGGAGCCCTTTAGGCGGCCTGAGAAGGGGTGGTCGGTCGGGGGCTCACCCAGGGGAGCGGCCTCGCGGTGCGGCGCCAGAAGTGCTTCCAAACAAATGCACATGCTCAGTAACAACATGAATACCGGAAACATTTACTGAAGGCTTCCTACGTATCACATCGTATGCGTAGCCCTCTACACGTATTACCGTGTTCAGTCCTCAACGTTCCTTTGAGGAAGGTTACCTTCGTTTCATACTCCCGTGTTCTAGATGAGCTAATTGAGGCGCAAAGAGGTTACGTAACCTGCCCAAAGTCCTAGACGGGGAGTAAAAGCACTTCCTAAATAGCGTTTAGCTTTACTCTCCTGTGTATTCAAGTCGAATTTCACTTCAGTGAGTGTCGGTGGAATATATTTAAATACACCCGTACAAGTAGGCAGAGGACCTGCGTGGTCCTTTTCACGTAAGGACCAGTCTGTGACAGGTAGAAAAAGGGTCCACCTGAAGGTGGCGGTGAATGAATAACAGATAACGTTCTGTCCTGTTATCTGAGGAAGGAGTTGGAGAATTAAGCTGCACGTGTAATTTCCAAGTCAGTCGTTCGTGACCCTTTTATTGAGTGCAGAAGACTTGTGACCATTTAGCTCGAGAGATTTACGACATTCCCAAATCAACATTTGTTTTCACTTTGTTTTTGTATGTCAGCGTTGGTTTTAAAGTAAGTGTAGAATAAGTGTATCACGTAACGCTCCATAAGAAGGAAAACAAAATGTGACAAAGAGGGGGGCACATTGGCACCCTGAGTGCAAGAAGGCAGCAGCAATCAAACTGCTGATTAGCGAGTATCGATCCTGCTCGCACGTCAGTGGGTCGGCGTCTGGTGAACCGCATAGACTTTACGTACATTTGACGAGTGCTCCTCATACGAAACATGACACCACCCCACCCAGCCCTCACCTGATTCCTTCCAGCTGGCACCACAACATCCCTATGTACTTCTGTCAAGTGGGAATTTCCTGGGAGGTAGTCTCTGGGTAGTGAATAAGGGTGTATTCTGGACTCGCAGGCTTATATTCAAATTTTTCCTGGTTTTAGGACCTCAGGTAGTTACTTAATCTCTTTCATTCTCATTTTCATCACCTTTAAAACAAGATAGTAATGCCCGCCTTCTGGGTTTGTTGAAAGGGTGTAATTAAGATGTTTGTAACATTTATAGTATCTGCTACATGGCCGTAAAAACTGACGAAGATCATGGGCTGTGTTTATAACTGATAATACTGGCAGTGTTGTGATTGCTGTATGTTTTCATAAGATTTTAATGTTAACCAGACCTTGGCCTCTTATTAGTGAATTTATAAATTAAAATAAGTAAAACCTTTAAGGTCATAGTTAATAAAGATTTTAGGAAATTGTCATTAATCTGGCACTTTACAGTGGTTTTAGGTATAATATTTAAACCCCAAATACTGATATTTAGATCAAAGCTACGGCTTTGAGGTATCCTTTCATGACAGATACTTTCTGAATGCATTTTGAGACTTGAAGAAAAATATCATATTTACCAGTTGTGAAAACTTGAGTGATGTCTATAGATATAAACTCATTTACTTTAAATTTTTTTTAATGTTTATTTATTTTTGAGAGACAGAGCATGAGCGGGGGAAGGACAGACAGGGAGAGGGAGACACAGAATCTGAAACGGGCTCCACGCTCTGAGCTGTCGGCACAGAGCCCGACACGGGGCTTGAATCCACAAACTGTGAGATCATGACCTGAGCTGAAGTCGGACGCTCAACCGACTGAGCCACCCAGGTGCCCCCAAACTAGTTACTTTATATCTGGTTGTATTTTTCCCCTGAAGAAAGGAAGCCAGGGCAGGGGGAAGGCAAATTCCAGAAAAATTCTGACCTTATGGCAGAATATTAGTCTAAGTAGGAGGTTAATTCAGCATTCGTATAAAGCATTAATACAAATATGTAATTTTAGGAATTAAAAGTTATTCTTTTTTTTTTTTTTTCAAAGTTTTTTATTTATTTTTGGGACAGAGAGAGACAAAGCATGAACGGGGGAGGGGCAGAGAGAGAGGGAGACACAGAATCGGAAACAGGCTCCAGGCTCCGAGCCATCAGCCCAGAGCCCGACGCGGGGCTCGAACTCACGGACCGCGAGATCGTGACCTGGCTGAAGTCGGACGCTTAACCGACTGCGCCACCCAGGCGCCCCTAAAAGTTATTCTTAAGGCGAATTCATAAAATAAAAACCGAAGACAGAAAATTTATTTTAAGAGAGGGGTGCCTGCGTGGCTCATTTGGTTAAGTGTCCAGTTCTTGATTTCGTCTCAGGTCATTATCTCAAGGTTTGTGAGTTCGATCCCAGCGTTGGGATTCTCTCTCTCTCCCTGTTTCTCTGCCCTGTGCACATGCACGCTGTCTCTCCTCTCTCTCAGAATAAATAAATACACTTTAAAAAATTTATCTTAAGAGAGAAGTATCTGAGAGATAAAAGATTAATCTGTAGTACTCACACGAGAGACTCATTTTCAAGGGCCTCAGAAGCACACTTCACTCCCGCAGAGAAGTAACCTCCACAGGCCTCATTCCCTGCCATTAACCTGCCCCACTTTGGGGAGTGCCTTAAATGCCGCCTGCGGTTCTGGCCAGACTTCCCTCGCCCATCGGCTTCCTGCCCATTGGCCATCCTCCTCTGTTAAAGTCATCTCTGGAACCACCGGAGGTCTTGTTCTTTCTCATGTTTTCATTTTGTTACACTGTGCCGTCTCTCATATCTGTAATTAAACCACAACTTCTCTAAGAGGAAGACTCCGTGTGGTCGTTGGCCTAGCATGTTGCCTAAATGTTCTCTGGCACGTAACAGATACTCCTCTAAGATTGCATTTCAGGGGCGCCTGGGTGGCTCAGTCGGTGAAGCATCTGACTTCGGCTCAGGTCACGATCTCTCGGTTTGTGGGTTCGAGCCCCGCGTCGGGCTCAGAGCCTGGAGTCCGCTTCGGATTCTGTGTCTCCTTCCTCTCTGCCCCTCCCCCACTCACAGTGTATCTCTCTCTCCTTCAAAAATAAACATTAAAAGAAATCAAAATTGCATTCCATGCTAATTATATTTCATGCTAATTAATGTAAACATTGACATTGCTGATGACAAATTATTCTGACCTATTTGAGTGAGTCTCTGGAATATTTTTGTTACAAACCTGCTCACTTATCAGCAAAATTAAATCCACTTAGCAGTAACACTGTCATAAATTGTAGAAAGAATACATTGACTTTATCAACACCCGAATAAAAGCATGAAATTATCACCAAGTAATTTTATTTTCTTTTTCATTTAGACACTTTTTTGATGTAAAATATTTCTAAAATATCCTAGGTGAAATGTTTGCCCCCTGGTAACCAACATTTTATCGGTTTAATGACTCACAGCTATTTTATAGAATGTTTTTCCTTTTCCTGACCTAGATCTTCTCTAAATTGAAGTTATTCACTGTATTACCGTATTTTATGTGGTCTATAGTCATTTCAGAGTTCCTTACCTATAAAATGAAGTCGCTTAAAGTAAAGAAGCCTGATCTTGGCAGCCTTGTGCACAAAACAGGTTTTTTAAGTTGCACTACCTGACTGTAGATTATAAGAGCATATGCCTAATATCATATTCCGTGTCCACAATCATGAAGGTAATTATTAAAACCAGTAGAATTCACAATGAAGTATATCCTGTCCTGTGCCCGGAAGAATTCTGTGGATTTTAAACCTTTTGTTCCTTTACATAAAGTAAAGGGGCTGTGCCTCCAAAGCTACCGCCTCTGTCTCCGGCAGCCGACAGGACAGCCGCGTCCTCTCCCCGTCACCGTCACCGTGTGACAGGAGCACCGTTCCCTGTGACGGGAAGGGCCGCCTGCCTCCCGCATTGGTGCCGGGCCTCTTCTGTTGCCTTCCCAAGACTTCTCACCCTGCTGTTACTCCCTCCCCTGCTCCATTCTCTGTCCCGCACTCTGTCGTGCTTTCTTACATAGCGACTTCCAGACATCTCCCATCTTTGAGCAAAAGCCTCCCTCCGGTGACCCTACATCTGCCTCCTGCTCTCTCCATACTTCTTGGCCCTTTTCATAGCCAAGCCCTTTGGGCTGCGTTGTGCTCACTTCCTCACCTGCCAGGCCAGGCATCCTCCTGCCCACTTGGGCCAACACCCACCCTCCGGCGACACCACTCTCGTCGGGACCATCGGTGACCTCCCTGTTACCAGACCCGGGGAAGATATTCTGCATTCTCGACGCCCAGGACCCCGGCAGTACCGATGCTGTTACCTACTCTCACCCCAGGGCTTCTAGGACCCCGTACTTTATTGTGTTGTTTTCTTACCATCCTAGGGGTTCCCTCCTAGGAAACCTTCCGTGAAATTCGGCCATGAGCCACCTAAACTGGGGAAATCAAACAGGCCCTTCCGATGGGGGAGTCTGAATGAAGGGGCTGACCTTTCAGTCCTGAGCAAGCAGTGAGAAAGCCCATCTCACAGGAGGGGATGGAGTTTGAAGGCGAAACGTAAGGATGTCGGAAGGAAGTAGGAGGCTGTTGGGCAGATGAAGGGCAATGTCTTTGAGACCTGAAGTGTGACGCGGGGGTCGAGGCTTCAAAGAGCAGTAGGCAGACACCCCTTTTCTTGGTAGAGAGAAGGTCGCGAGTGGTGGCAGTGCTTCCGTAACACGGATTATGATGCAGGCCTGGAAGCAGCCGTGAGGTTTGAAGGGAAGGTAGTGATTACGGTTTCCAAAACTGTGTTTACTTACGGTCTCAGTTCTTCAGGCAGGGAAAAAAAAATCTGTAGGTTTTCTTTATTCTCTTCTTCTTTTGGGGGGAGGGTTTTTTTTTTTTTTTTAAGTTTTATTCTCTTCTTGAAATTGAGAGCACTGTTCTCCTCCAGCCTCTGCTCGCAGCATAAGATGCATGAAGCATTTTCGCATATTGGCAGATGAGGAATCGGAAAAGCATCATCATGAGAAGTATTCTGTCAGGATTCTCTTAGAGTGTGGCCATTTCTAGAAACCATGGTTCTGGTCTCCAGGAGAAGGACTGTGAATCTGTGTATCTTTCCAGATATATAGAGGACACTGAGGGAGGTGATCGGGAACTTCTTTATTTACTTTCAGGCACCTATATGTCTGTATGTCTCTCTCTCCATATATATATATATAAACACTGTCACTCTCTCTCTCCCCAAATATATATATATGTATATATATATGTGTGTGTGTATATATATATATATATATATAAAACTGTCAAGGGAGATAAATTCATCAGCCTACTCACACATTTTCCTGTTGGGTAGTTCTCCCTGTTCCTTACATAGCTGGAGAACTATTTATATTCCCAGAAAGAATAGGGGCATCGTACATTTCCAAGACTTCTAAAAGCATTAAAAGCCAGTATTTCTAGATGGCTGGGGAGAAGGCCCTTCGTGATGGACTGTCAGAAAAGCAAAACGGAAGTCCGTAGCAGAAAGGTTGATATTTTTCCTTTAGGTAAAGTGCACGAGGATAATCGTGTGAGAAATAGGGGAAAGGAGACAGACAGAGAGAAAGAGAGAGAGAGAGAGCTTAGGAGGAACCAGAGGAATAAGTGACTGCAAGGATAGACAATATCGATGGCATTCATTTCAAAGTCAGCAAGAAGGAATAAATAATCTGCACTGGGCAGCCGCAGGAGGGGAATGAAACCTAACTTCCTGCCATTGACCCCGGAGCGTATGAAAGCACAGCCTTCGTTAATGAAGGACCGGTAGGGAGATGGGGACTCAGAGTCTGACTGAATGATGGCAAGAAGGGTAAGCAGCCGACAGGGAGATGCGCGGCAGCGTTGCGTGCGAAAGGGCAGAGTGAGAGCCGCGAGCTCCCCGTTCCTGCAAATGCTGGCCTCCCTTAGCGTGGGCTTTCCTGTGCCGGCCCGCGTTCCACTCTGACCGCGAGGTCAGGCCCGACCCTTCGCGTCCTCCGTCCCTCCAGCAGCACGTCTGCTGCACGACTCTGGAGCTGGCAAGAGGGCGCCCAGCCCTGGGGACGGAAGGGGTCCGGAGCCTCACCACTCCTGTGTGCCCTTGGAGCTCGTACGTTTCTTTAGTGTCTGCTGCATCTGTAAGATGAAGGCAGCGGTCTCTGCTTCCACAGTTACGGTGGGAATAACGTCCGTACGGCTTCTCCACCGTGCCTTGAGGTCGAGGCCGGAAAGATCTCTTTTTTTAGGCAAGTCCACGTGCCACGAGTTCTCTTGGATTCTTTGAAACCCCGTGATCCCAGTTCTCTTGGGACCTCTCTTTCTGTCGTCGGTTTCTCCGCCTCCTCCTGGCCACGCAACACCGGTGCTCCCTAGGATCTGTGCGCTTACGGTTCTCCTGCTCCCCTTGGTTTGGCGTCCCTGTGTGCCGCTGGGACGCTCAGATCCCAGATTCCCGGCCGTGTCCCCGTCTCCGGCCCAGGCCGCTCTCCTGAGCGCCAGACTTCGGTATCTCAGCCTGCTGCCCGATGTCTGCTCGCGCGTCTCTCAGTTCCCTGGAGCTTCCCGTATTCCAGACCCAACTCATCATCTTCCCCTAAACCCGCACCTTTATTCCTAGTGTCGTTTGGTAGGACTGCTTTTCACCCACCCCGTCGAAACCCAGCAGATCTCTTGGAACCCTTTCTCTCGTTGCCGCTCCCACCCTGCAGATGGAGTCAAACACGGTCTTCCTGACGTCGCCTGCTGGGTGTTTATCTACTTCCTCCTCCCTTCTGCGGCTAGAGAAGAAGTTACAGGAAACAGACCAAGAAAAAAATCTTGGAGAGGGTCTTAACAGCAGTTTTTTGTTTTTCTCTGAAATACACGAATTGAAATGTGCATTTTCAACTTAAAGAAAAAACACTGATACGGGGCGCCTGGGTGGCTCCGTCGGTTGAGCGTCCGACTTCGGCTCAGGTCACAATCTCACGGTTAGCGGGTTCGAGCCCCGCGTCCGGCTCTGTGCCGACAGCTCGGAGCCTGGAGCCTCCCTTGGATTCTGTGTCTCCCTCTCTCTCTCTGCCCCTCCCCCGCTCACGCTTTGTCTCACTGTTTCTCAAAAATAAATAAATGTAAAAAAAATTTTAAAAAAACACTAATATGAATATTATAATAGAGGAGAGATTCAACAGGTACACTTTTTTCACATATGCTTTGTTGATTTTTTTTATTTCTTTATTGATATTAATGAAGTCACTTGAAAAGAATGTAAAATTTAGCTACACTGAGAACAATTTAAAAAAATTTTTTTTTTCAACGTTTATTTATTTTTGGGACAGAGAGAGACACAGCATGAACGGGGGAGGGGCAGAGAGAGAGGGAGACACAGAATCGGAAACAGGCTCCAGGCTCTGAGCCGTCAGCCCAGAGCCTGACGCGGGGCTCGAACTCACGGATCGTGAGATCGTGACCTGGCTGAAGTCGGACGCTTAACCGACTGCGCCACCCAGGCGCCCCGAGAACAATTTTAAATATTCCATTTTACCACATAAAATACATATCAAAAATTACACCATATGATAACTAGCAAAAAATAGTATACCTTTGAAATCAGAAAATAACTTATCCACCATTCATTACTATAAAGAAAAGTACGAGTTATCGTGCTTTTTTTTGCAAGTTCCAAAAAGGTTTTATTACCTCCAGAGAGGAGAGGTTCAGTCCTTGGCTGCCGCTTCCCTCATGTCTTCCTCTCGGCACAGACGTGTGTCCCCACCCTGTTCTTGGTGAACTTGAGGACGCACTTGTCCTCGGAGACCTGGAGCAGCCCCATGGCACACCACCGCTCAATGGACAAAGCTGCACACCTCTCACATCACGTCCTGCACGAGCCTGGTGTGCTTGCTGAGGCGCCCGTGGCCGCGGCTGTGCCTCAACTTGCTCCCGTCCTTAGTCACCTTGTGGCCCTCGTTGAGGCCCAAGGCCAAAGGGCAGTGCACAGCCACGGCTGCTACTCCTCAGGGACTCCCGCAGCGTGCGGCTCGTATGCGTTCTTGTAAACTGAGCAGAATTCTGGGGGCGCCTGGGTGGCTCAGTCGGTAAGCATCCGACTTCAGCTCAGGTCATGATCTCGCAGCTTGTGGGTTCGAGCCCCGTGTCGGGCTCTGTGCTGACATCTCGGAGCCTGGAGCCTGGTTTGGATTCTGACTCCCTCTCTCTGCGCCTCCCCCACTCGCACTTTGTCTCTCTCTCTCTCTCTCTCTCTCCTTCAAAAATAAATATAGGGGCGCCTGGGTGGCTCAGTTGGATAAGCATCCGACTTCGGCTCGGGTCATGATCTCGCAGCTTGTGGGTTCGAGCCCCGCGTCGGGCTCTGTGCTGACAGCTCGGAGCCTGGAGCCTGCTTCGGATTCTGGGTCTCCCTCTGTCTCTCTCTCTCTCAAGGGTAAATAAACATTTAAATAAATAAGTAAATATTAATTTTTTTTTAAACTGAGCAAAATTCTCGATATAATACAGTCCTTAAAGATGTACTGAATATAAATTAAATACATTGTAAGGTATATAAACATGTTCTTATGATAGATGTATTAATCTCGCTTTGGGAAACAGAGTTCTCAAAATTGCATTCAGTAGCAAGTCATTTTTTAGAATGGTTCCAAATTTAAAATATTTTTAGAGAAGCATAGTCATTAACAGAATTTAATCCTCTCTTCTTGTGGCCCTTCCTTAAGGATTCATTAACAAATTTTTAAATATAGTTATTTAAAATACTTTCCTATTTGGCATGTACTTTTAAAACATTGCCATTTACTTTACAATTAAATGTAAGAGATATGTATTGTTTTTCCTGTATTCCAAAGTGTCAGTTTCCTTTAAAAGCGTTTTCAGAGGGCAGATATTGAGAATGCTATTGTAGAATTATATTTTTTTTAATTTTAATTGTAGAACTATATTGTTTATGATGTACTTGAGAGTGTAGGTGCTGTTTTATACTGTCTCAACTCTGTTTATTCAAGCTTTTTATTCAAGTCAGCATGTCAAAGAAAGACACTGGAATTTTCTTTCTCACAAAGTCCCCATTTAGAGGACGTGTACCTGTGTGGAAAGAAGAGAAGAGTGAGGCCTCCTCTTGGCACTAAGCCCACGTCAGTCTAGCATTTTGGCCATTTTTTCACATTATCATAGTCCTTTGAAAATTGGAGGGGGAAAAAAAGCCACTCTCCACTTTACTGAGGCTGCCAAGGGATGAAATACTTTGATCCTTCAACTGACACCAGAGCACTTCTCTCGGGTACAAGATATGACAAAACACATTTCTTTCTCTCTCCATATAAACACTGAACGTTTTTAAGGAAAAATATCTGAAAACTCACTGTGAGCTTTTTTATTAAAAAGAAGTACACTGGCTCCAAAATAAAAACAATCAAAAAGTTGGTAATGCACAAAAATATAAGTCATTAAAAATATTACTTTAATATTATCATTTAAATTTAAAATATATGCCTGAAGTTACTTGTAGCTAAACCATTGAATTACCTGGATAGAAAGTCCTTACCTGCCTTGCTCTGAACTTGGGCCCCAAGTCTGTGCGCCATCTGATTGGGAGCCGTTAGGATCACTGCCATCACCCTCTGCGGGAGTTCATTCCTGTGTCTAGGCTACCATAGGCCTTAGTTCCCATTGCTTCTTCCACATGGATGTTATTTCGGACCATCACTGACTTTTTAATTTTCATATTTAGTTTTCATATTCAGCCTTATCTGTCATCCCACCCCACTTAATTAAATTTTCATCCATCCTTTGAAGACCATTTTTAGAATTACTTCCTCTGTGACATCTCTGATCACCTCTGACAGTTCTGCAAATGATTTCACATACTTCCAAAGTCGGTAACTTTTACTGTCACGGTCTCTTAGTAGTATATAGCATTTTTATAAACATTTTTATTCCGGCCTCCTTGATGGAAGTATACAGTACCATCTATTACGAATTCTTGCCAAAAATCCAACTTGAATCTCAGCACACTTCTGGATCCAAGGACTAGTGTGTAGAAAATATAGAAGTTAGAGGAACATTTGAAATGACACCAAGAAGATGCAGTCAGCAAAATTCTAGACGATAAGAAACTTTACAGGACTGACGACCAGGCATCTTTAACAACTAAGTTGAAAGAGAGGGGGTAAAGACACGGGAGAATCTATAGATTTTTTTTTTTAAAGAGATTTATAGCACAGGGAACAAAAGAAAAATGTTAAACTTTTGTGAATCAAAGTACACAGAAAAGAGAGTGAAAAGACAACCCACAGAATGGGAGAAAATATTTGCAAATCATATATAGGGGTTAAAATCCAGTATATATAAAGAACTCCTGTAACTCAACGACAACAAAAAAAACCAAAGAACCCAATTGAAAGGGAAAGACTGGAATAGACATTTCTTTGAAGAAGATACATGATTGACTAATTCCCACATGAAAAGATGCTCCACATCACCAACCATTAGGGAAATGCACATCAAAACCATAATGAGACAGCACATCATAAATACCATTATTATCAAGAAAAAAATTAACAAGTGTTGGCAAGGATGTGGAGAAATGATAACCTCTCTGCACTGTTGGTGGGAATGGAAAATGGTGCCACCACTTTTGAAAAAAGCATGGGTGTTCCTCAAATTAAACATAGAGAATGACCATATGATCCAACCATTCCCCTCTGGGTACGTACCCAAAAGAATTAAAAGCAGAGATTCAAACAGATATTTGTACACCAATGTTTGTAGCAGCATTAATCACAATAGCCAAAGAGTGGAAACAACCCAGATGTCCATCAACAGATGGATAAACAAAATGTGGCCTATGCATATAGTGGAGTATTATTCAACCTTAAACAGGAATGGAATTCTGACACGTGCTACCATGTGGATGAAGCTTGAAGACATGATGCTAAGTGAGCCAGGCACAAAAGGACAAATATTGTATGATTCCATCTATATGAGGTCCCTAGAGTAGGCGAATTCATAGAGACAGCAAATAGGGTAGAGATAATAGGGGCTGGAGGCAGAATGAATGGAGTTAGTGTTTCATGGGTATGGGGTTTCAGTTTGTGGTGATAAAAAAAGTTTTGATAATCATTGCAAAACAGTGTGAATTTACTTAATGCCACTACCCTGTACATTTAAAAATGGCTAAAATGGCAAATTCTGTTATGGGTATTTTGCCACAATAAAAAAAAAAAAAAAGTGACCTGAGTCCTGTTGACCAAGTACAATGCAAGGACCTTCCTTGAATCCTGATTTGAGAACACTTGAAGAATTATTTTCCTGATACAGGGACGTTTGTAAAAGTGGTATGAATCTGATGATATTGAGGGATTATTGGTAATTATTTGGAGGGAGGGAGCCGTGCTTCTAGAGATACAGCTTGGATTTTCTACTATGAAATAATATATGAGATTTGTTTCAAAATAATCCAGTGGGAAGTGGGAGAAAGGAATGGAAAGAGGTATAGATAAACCAAGATCTGTCATGAGTTGATAATTACTGAAGCTGATATATGTGTAATACAGTTATTCATTATATTCTCTCTACTTTTGTGTGTGATTGAAGTTTTCCATGATAAAGTTTTTTTTAATTGTGTATTTCGCTATTATATCAAATTTATGATCCGGAAGGAAAATTTTTTTGGCTTATCAGGAGGCCATGATTTACAAGATACATTTTCTGTATCTATTGCTCTTCTTTTCACTGCAGGCACATAAAACCAGACACTATCTATTTGAGCAAGAAAGGACAGACGTGGAGCTAGTGGCCAGACACAGAGCTAGCTTCAAGTTCAACTTAATCCAGGGCTCAGACATCACCAGCATCCATCTTTCATACCTGCCAATTAGGATTGGCTGCATTCTCAGGCCCTAAACACCGGCTGTCTGGCAGTTCCAGGCCCTCTTGCCACTGCCTCACATTCCTAAGTGAAACATTCTCACATCATCAAAGCCCAGGAGGGCTGGTGGAGGGGAAAAAATGAAGTGAAGGATTCAGCATTCTCATCAGAAATGCCACTCTGAGTGACCCAGCCTAGGTCAAGGCCCATCGCGAGTCCCTGCAGCCAGACATGTGCAGCCTGCTCCTTAGCTTGGCTCGGCTTCTTGCCCATCTCTGCGCCGATTCTGTGAGAGGACAGTGATTGGCTGAGCCAGTCGGCATCCACCTTGAGGGGTGAGAATGGGTCGTCCTACGCCTGGCCTGCATGTTGAGAATGGAGAAGGAACGGTTTCCCGAAGGAAGATCAAGTTACTGCTGCAAAGATTTAATTTTCTTATTTTAAATAATATAGTTTGGCCTTTGGTATATCAAGATCTCCATTACTCTCCCGAATTTTCAAATTTACTTCACTTGAGATATTGTGAATGGTGAAATTTGAGTGCGAATCGCATAAAGTGCCATGGAAATCAAACCTGTAGTGGATGCCTATTATTTGCTAGCCAACATCCATCCCTCCTTTTACTGGTAATCGTAACCTGATGAAAAAACACAGTATCTTTTCTTAAGTATTAGTACTGTACTTAACTCTCTATTGTAGATGTTTTCCACTGTATCAAAGAGCGGTAAATTAAAGTAAAAATGTGTGTGTTTTTAATTCAGTGAGGTTTCCATATAGTACCTATATGTGATTACTTCTAAACCATCTAAAACTTATTTCCTGATGTTTTTATTTTCTCTCTTTCAGGACTGATATCATATACCGAGTATCTTTTCTTGCTTACCATCCTCACTAGTAAGTATCCCACAGTTTGTCTCTGTGATCATGTGGAATTCTCTGTTCTTGCCAAACAGTGTTTTGGAAGTTTGGCATTTATGTCTTTTTTCATTGCTATCTTAGTTTCTGTGTCAACAAAATGATACTGTTGGATTAGATTATCCCTTCTACCTCCCTTGTACTATGGCTCCCCATAACTTTGTCTCCTTAAAAGACTTGTTGAACAGAAGAATGAGACTTGACCTTCGCATATTTAAAACCCCTCATTAGATACTCTTCAAACTTCCTGATCAGTATTCTTCAGACTGGTCATGAAAATCGAGGAATGAGTGAGAAACTTTCACAACTTGGAGCAGAGTAAGGAGACATAACAACTAAATGCAACATGATTTCTTTCAATTTTTTTTTAATGTTTATTTATTTTTGAGAGAGAGAGAGAGAGAGAGAACAGGGGAGGGGCAGAGAGAGAGAGAGGAAGAAACAGAATCTGAAGCAGGCTCCAAGCTCCTAGCTGTCAGCACAGAGCTGGACTCATGAGCTCAAACTCAGGAGCCGTGAGATCATGACCTGAGCCGAAGTCAGACACTTAACCAGCTGAGCCACCCAAGTGCCCCCAACGTGACTTCTTATGTATGATCCTAAAATAGAAAAATAGCATTGATGGAAAAACATGAAATCCAAATAAAGTCTGTAGTTCAGTTGAAAATACTACTACCAGTGTTAATTTCTTAGTTTTGACAACGATACTGTGGTTATATAAGATGTTGAAAATAGAGGAAGCTGGGTGAAGAGTATGACAACTCACTATGCTATCTTTACAACATTTCTTAGGGCTAAAATTATTTAAAAATAAAGTTTGTTTTTTTTCCTATTTATTTATTTTTGAGAGAGAGAGAGCAAGCAGGGGCGGGGCAGAGAGAGAGGCAGACACAGAATCCAAAGCCGGTTCCAGGCCCTGAGCTGTCAGCACAGAGCCCGACGGGGGGCTCGAACCCACCAGCAGGGAGATCATCACTTGAGCTGAAGTCAGAGACCTAGCCAGCTGAGCCACCCAGGCGCCCCTCGAAATAAAAAGCTTTTTAAAAACCCTACTCTGAGAGGGGCGACGGTTGGTTAAGCGTCTGAGTCTTGATATTGGCTCCGGCCGAGGTCTGGCAGTCATGAGATCGAGCCTCGTGTCGGGCTCCACACGGAACATGGAGCCTGCTTGGGATTCTTTCTGTCACTCTGTCTCTGCCCCTCCCCTGCTCACTCGCTCTCACCCTCTCACTCTCAAAATAAACAAATAAACCTAAAAAACAACAACCCTACTCCGAGGAAAGGAAATCGAGAGTAATAATCTGTACGAAAATAGCCGAGCTATCATGAGAATAGAGGAAACCCCTGGTAGGGTTAAAGACATAAATTAAGTTCTCAAATGGATTTTGCCTTGAGAAGCAGAGCATTTAGCAGCAGAACAGCACGTCTTTGGAAATAGATCAGCCTCTGAAAATTGTTATAAGAAGAGGTCATTTTTTCTCTGTTGAGGCACTTGCATAATAGTTTCTGGAAGCTTTTTTTTTTTCAAATTCGAAGACCTACGGATCACCAAATATAATTTGCATTTCACCAACATTTAAGTAACTGTTCGCTTTTCACTTAATTACAGAACCCCATACTGGGTTTCATGTTGCTTTTAAAATGCTGGATGCAGATGGTAATGAGATGGTTGAGAAAAAGGAATTTTTTAAGGTAAGTAGATGCTACTTATTTTTGGCTTATCATAAAACACTTGGGTGTTTGTGTGATTTTACATTTCCATAAAAATAGAAATTATATCCACTGCTTACATATGAAATGTCAAGAAATCATTTGTACATTTGGAAGTGTTAAATTTTCCGTAGTGCAGCCTTGAGGGAAACTGTTGAGGAACAGAGTATAGGATGCCTGTGGGAGAAATGGACTTAAGCATCTACGTTTTGTAGGGTTCTGTTTTATGATAATGATAATGCTAACATATATAATGTATAAAACGATAATAGAAATGATAGAAAAATGAAAAAGCTACAATAGGTATAAATGGGTGCAGGTTTTCCAGGAATTTGCTAAGGCTACTATTTGAAAGGCTGGAAATATGTTTAGGTGAAAATATGTTTCCAAGACAACTCTAGGACATGTGACCAGTAAATTTTACTTCATTCCAAGAATGTTGATGGTAGTATTAAAAAAAACCTCACTGTGCATAAACTGTTGAGTATGTGACAGAGTTAAATGTTGTTATTTTTTTAAACTGTTTTAACATTTATTTATTATTGAGAGAAGGAGAGAGACAGAGCATGAGCATGGGAGGGGCAGAGAGAGGGGGAGACACAGAGTCAGAAGCAGGCTCCAGGCTCTGAGCTGTCAGCACGGAGCCCGACACGGGCCTCAAACCCACGAACCGTGAGATCGTGACCTGAGCCGAAGTCGGAAGCTTTACCTACTGAGCCACCCAGGCGCCCCGAGTTAAATGTTTTTTATCTATTAGAGTGTTTTGTGGAGAAAAAAACACAACATAGTAAATAGATAACACAGTGCTTTGTACATACTGACTTCTTTGAACTATGATTGGTAATGCATACATACATAAATGACTATGACTTTTTTTTTAAAAAAGCCTTTAAGACCTGAAGCAAATGGACTCTTTTACATGTAGGAATGTAAAAGAAACACACATTTTGGAAAACAAAATTGGCAGTTTCTTAACTCTACTTGGCAATTCTACTCCCATGTATTTAGTCAAAGGAAGAAAACATGTTCACCCAAAGACCTGTGTATGAATGTTCGTAACAGCTTTATTCATAATAGCCCCAAACTGGAAACAGAACCTAAGTGTTCGTCAAGTGACTAGATAAACAAATTGTATTCATACAATAAAATACTACTCAGCGATATAAAGGAAAAGTTACTGATAAACACAACAACATGGATGAATCAAGGTGCAACAGACAGTACACAGAGCGGGTGATTCCTCGGATACGAAACTCTAGAGAAGGAGCGTATCTACACTAACAGAAAGCGGACCACTGGCAGCCTGGGGCTGAGAGGGAGTGAGGAGTTGACTGCAGTTTCCATGAGGGAGCCTCCTGAAGCACTAGAAATATTTCAGATCTTGGGGAGGATGGTAGTGACATGGGCATGTAAATGTGTCAAAACCCATCGAACTGTATGTGTTTTATTATCATACAAACTATACGTCAGTAACCCCTTTGACAAGGTTCCATACCACAGGCTTTGCAAATTTAATTACTAAGATATTTGGTTCTCTGTATAAGAAACTGTCTCAAAGACTAGAAGCGAAGGACATAGCAAAAGTTCTAATCAGAGAATAAACATAAAACAGAAAATAGGCTCGTAAGTATTTAACATATGTGGAAATCCGGAAGAGGATATAAAGAGTGCATGAATGTTAGCATACGGGGGAGACTAAGGTCAGCGACATGAACATCTGTGTGAGTAAACAGGTGAAATTCTCAGTGTTGGAAAGTGTAGCACAACCCATCTTACCCAGTGTGGCCGCCATCGGTAATTGTTCCACTGCCTTAAAAAGTGTGTCCGAGTGGGGAATCATTTTGAAAGATAAAGATACTTACGTAACAGACTTTTTAATTAACTTAAGTAAATACACATCCTTTTTTTTTTTTTTAACATTTTTCTTTATGTCTTTTTGTATCCATTTCGGAACCAAGGCCTTTTCTTTAGAGTGGAGCCACTGGTTGGATTCTTGCTACACAGTCTCATCATTTATCACCTGCAGTTTCCACTTTGTTTTCTTTAAAGGGCAGAAAAAATGTGAAGACAGGTATGAAGCACTCAATGTAGAATCCTTCAAGATTTGGTGATTTTCCCCACTCTTTACAGACATACCCTAGCTAATCAGAAGCAACTTTTTTTTAGTAGTGTCCCTTTATAGCACAGCTCTGAAGTATTCCTCTCACTTTTTTATTGCAGCAACTCTTTTCCGACTCCTTTTTCATTGATACAGCATTTGCATTATTGCAAGTGACTTCACGCACACCCCTTTGTGCATGTAGTCAAGGCCCATGAACTCAATTAAACAAGCTAGCCACCAGGACAGGAATCGATGCAGGCTGTCCCCTCGCGGCTTCCTTGACATGGCGTTTTCTGAGGGGCCTGGCGGCTCCCGGTGACAGTGGCCCACTCATTTCAGGGTGTTGCCGAACATAAGACACTAAATGTTACGCTTTTATATTTGGAGTTTATATCGCTTTCAAAAACAAAAAGAAAACTCACATAAACCGTCTTCTGTGCTTGGTGCATCCATTTCAGGCTCTTCTGGTTTCTTTCACCAAATTCAGGTGTCTTTGAACCTACATTCTCACCTCAGGCAAAAAAAGGAGACCAATGTCCTAGTGTCCCCAAGTAGTTAACTTCTGCCTTCAGCTTCCTGGTGTTTCCAGAAAACCACATCACTTCACAGAAGTATTGAATTAAATAATTACGGTAACAAGTGCAATGAACGTCATTGGTTTGGAAACACACAGAAATTAGAGCAGATACTGAGCTCAGCTGCTGAGAGCAGGAGTATGCAAGGAGCTTGAGACCGGCCAGGAGCCCGCTGGGAATATCCATCCCGGGGTTCTGCAGGGGCAGTAGGGAGCCTTGATTAATCTGCATTGCTTAAGTTTTTGGTTTTTTGTTTGGTTGGTTGGTTTTTTTGCTACGTTTTATTTGAGGAAACAGAACCCAGTATACAACTATAGGAATTAAATTCTGGAATATCTAGGAAGGAATGGACTCAGCATAACTACCCTCAATACCCCCAATATTTCAGACCAGTATGTTGGCATATAGTTCTTGAAGTGTGCTAAAACACACAGAAAACACACCCTCACACTAGAACAGATAACTTTGGATTGTTGTGTGGTTAGGTGTACTTTACGAAACACACAGAAAAGTTTCAAAACAGGAACAACTGAAATAATGGGAGGTAAGAGGCTGCTTTATGAGGACCCATCTTAAAAGTAGGTGTGTGTCATGGAAAGACGAAATGTATGATCTTCTATGTAGAATCCAGCAAAAAATCAAACTCCTAGAAAGAGATCAGATTTGTGGTTACCAGAGGCGAGGTTGGGAATTGAAGGAAAGTGGTCAAAAGGTACAAACTTGGAGCTAGAAGATGAGTCAGTGCTGGGGGTGTAACTTGCATCACGACAGCCATAGGGTTTACATAGGAAAGTGGTTAAGAGAGTGAATCCTCGGAGCTACCATAACAAGGAGAAAAGATTTTTTTTTGCCTTTTTTTTTTTTTTTTTTTTTTTTTTTTTTGCATGTGTATGAGATGATGGATGTTAACTTACTGCAGTAATCATTTCAGAACTTCTCTAAGTCAAATCATTGTACACAGGGAGGTATGTCGATTATATCTCAGTACAACTGGAAAAAGATAAGACTCATGGAGGTCTCCTTCTCTCTCTGCCCCTCCCCTGCTGGTGCTCTGTCTCTCTCTCTCTCTCAAAAATAAATAATAAAAAAAACTTTTTTTAATTAAAAAAGGCATCGCTAGTTTCCTATCACTGGTGTCAGTGAGATCTTTATGTCAGTTCTAGTCATCTAGTTTTTCTTCCAATCTCCATGTACCGGGAAGACAGGCAACAAAGCTTGTTAAAATTAGGTATAAAATACAGACTCTGTTACTTGCACTCTCCAGTAAAGTGGCCCGTAGCCATATGTAGCTTTTGGGCCCTTGAAATTTGGCTTGTGGCCAAAAAAAACTTAAGCTTTTACATTTTAATTAATGTAAAATCTAAATTTAAAACCTGATATTCCCTTTAGGTATTCAGAAATTTTTACATGTGTTTGAAGCTACCTGGGTATAGGGAGCCCCTTTTAAATTGTAAATCTTATGAAATCTGAACGCAGATCAAGTATTTCCAATGAAATGTAAATCTGAATTGATTGTTCTGTAAATGTAAAATCCACAGTGGATTTTGAAGAAAAGAGAAAGGAACGTAACACATCTGAATTTTTATATTAAATACATGATGAAGTGTGATGGGATATTAATTCATTTTCATGTGTCTTTTTTTGTTGTTTTTATTTTTTTGAATGTGGCTACTCAAAAATTTTAAATTACTTACGTAACTCCTTTATATTTCGATTGGACAGCACTGCTTTCGAATACACAAGACTATAAATTCTGAGAAAGTTTCGTACATATTTTATCATATGCCCTTAAAACAATTGTTTCAAATGCTGAAAAAGATTTTTCTTACGCGTGGGTTTGCATCTTACATAAGAAAGCTGGAGGATTCCAGAGGACTGAAGTTGCCTAAGTATACTTCCAGATAAGTGAAGTTTCACTTACTGTTCAGAAAAACAGGTAGTAATCTTCCAGAATTCAACTTCTTAAAGTGGCAGAAGTTAAAAGTAACAGAAAGTTATGGAGAAAACTATACTATGTAACTGCTTAAAGAATATTGGGAATGTTTCACATATTCAAAACATGTGGTTTGAAAAAGATAGAAATTGTGTCATTCTGACATCATTGTAAGCAAGTGTTAGCAAATTTGCTTGTTAGCCACGAATCAGTATGGATAAAGTTTATCATTATAGAGCAACTGGATTAGGAAGGCAGCATGGAATTCTACAGAGAAGTTGAGGGTAGTTTAAATGGACAAAATGGGGGGAAAATAAGTAAAATAAAATAAAATAAATAAAATTAAAAAATAAAATAATAAAATAAATAAAAT